CTTCTTCCTACACCCAGCAGCAGGTGGGATGGGCTACAGGGAGCCAGCTAGTACTAGAGCCCAGTTTTCCACAAGGAGGGGAGGAGGCCAGTGAAAAGGAGCCCAAGAGTGATCCTCATGTCTCCTCATCCCAAATCTGTAGTGAAAGATGCAGCCCAGAACCTCATCAAGCACTTTTTCCATGGCCGCGCCCGGTGTGAGAGTGAAGCTGACTGGCATGGCCTGTGTGTCCCACAGAGATGACCACCTGCTAGCTGGGCAGGTCCATGTCCTCCTGCAGACTCTACTGTGGGCCATCCTGGATCTGCAGATGCCAGAGCCATCGTCTTTTCTCAGGGTCCTTTCATCTAACCACATCTTGCTTTAGGGATGGCCCCAGATACCTCCCAAATCTAGGTCAGCCCACCTTTTCTGTGCCAGATGCCCAGTAAGAAGGTGCCAGGTGATGTGGCTCCTGCCAACGGAAGGAGGAGTGCTCCTTTACGTCTTGTATTTAACAAGTTTTAAGCCAGGGACATTGCCCACCTTGTCACGGTATTGGGACCTACTCAGGGGAGCCCCCTCCAGCCCTGAAGATGTCAGCCTTGAGCCAGGAGCAGAGCTTGTGGGTACAGGGGCTGCAGCCAGACTGTGCTCCCTGCGCAGCTCCTGGTCGGGAAGGCCAGGCCACCCAAAATGTTTATAAGAGGAATAAAGTCCGTTTGTTCTCACATGCATGTGTACACACAGCCCTTTTCTCATGAGAGTTTTATTTCCTTGGCAGCTCCTTCTAGGCCTGGACTTATGCTAATGTGGAGTCTAGGTGGGAGGCTGGCGTGGGTGGACATCTCCCCCAGACTGGCAACATCTGATCCCAGCCTGAGCTCCTGCAGCCTTCACCCCAGAACCAGGCCCCCCAGAGAGCCTGGCTGTTTTCCCTCCCCGGTTGGTGACACTGTTCCAGCCTGTGCCTCCACTTGGGCAAGCTGGCTGTGCTGTGTCAGTTTCCAGAACAGGGCCAAGCAGTAAAGCCCAAACCAGAATGACTTGATGGCATCCAAGGCAGACCATGTGGTTGAAACTCGCGCCAGGGAGAGGCCTCTTCCTCGTCTCCACCCCATCCCACTCAGTTGAGGCCGGGCTACTCAATGGAACAGGTGCTGTCCAGGAAGAAGAGGATGGTGTTCAGCAGCTCCTGGGCCTGTCCAGGGAAAAGCACGCTGAGACTGGCTCCCCCAGCCAGCTTTCTACCCTACTGCTATGGGGGAGCAGCTACACACCAGAGCTGGAGCAAGGCACCTGCCTCCACCTTCCCAGGGTGATCAGAAGCCTGTACACTTACCTGTGGCAGCTCAAACCAGGTGGTCTGGGGGTTGTCAGCTGAGCCATAGTTGAGTTCCAGGCCAGGGGTGCCTCCTACCTCCTGTGGGCTCAGCAGGTGGAGCCGATGCAGGCTCTTCAGGCTGATGGAGCACAGCGGTTTCTGGGGGCAGCAGAGACGGCAGAGGTTGGCTCCTCTCCAGGGAAGGAGTCAGTGTGGGTGGTAGGAGGGGAATGGCCTGAGGGTCTCCAGGCCAGCTCTGTGGCGGGACCCTTGCCCACCTGAGAACTGGGGTCCATAAGGAGGAGGTGCTGGTGGTTGAGCCCCAGGAGGGAGGGTCCGGGTAGGGTCAGCTCACTCGCCCGCAGCACCACATAGATGGTGTAGCCAAAGAGGGGTAGCTGGCGCATAGCCTCTGTGGGGTAAGAGGGTCAGTCAGAGGTTCTGACTGCGGGGGCTCTGGAACCTGCCCTGCTTGCCCCAGGTCAGGTGAGAGGGACAGGATGGGTGAAGAAGCCTCTTAGTCCCTCTATCCCAGCAACCTCCTGCCCCGGACCCACCAATGAAGCTGATCTGTGCTTCCTGGGAGCTCTGTCCTTGCAGCTGTCTCAGCTCCTGGCCCATCAGACCCTTTATGGTGGTCACACTCACCCCCCATTGCAGCGGCTTTGGAATGTAAGCCAGCAGGTCTTGCCTAGAGACACAGTCTAGGTCAGTCTGGCCTGTGACCACTAACCACCTGTGCCAACAGTGCCTTTTGTGAATAAGGCTGACTGAGGTGAGGGCCCCACCCTGGAGGAGCTCAGTTGGGTGGAAAGGACAGGCGTCTACAGCCCCTGCTGTTCTAGGCCAGTGTGGTTAGGGCCAGTAAGGGTACCATTCCAGTGGCCTTGACCTCACAGGAGGCTGGGGGGAGGTTGGGCTGGATGTGAGACAAAAGGAGTTTTAGGAGCGTGGGGGGGTGAGCACCCACTCACTCTGAGGGGGGTGTCTTTTTGTCCTTGCTGAGGTGCTGCAGGGCAGCCAGCCTGGCAATCTCAGCATCTGCCTGGGCGCTGACCCGCAGCTTCCCCTGAAGGTAGTCCCGCAGCACCTGAGGGCAGGGCCATGAGGGGGACAGCTGTGCCCCAGAGCCCCTATCAGCGGCCTCTGGGACACAAGCCCATGCTTGCTACCAGCCACCACAGACCCACAGCCTCTTGGGAAGGGGGCTTGGAAGTCACTCAGGCAGGAACTTGTACCTTGAGCTGCAGCTGCCCCCCACTTCACCCCATCTCCCACCCTCTGCTGCTGACCTGGCTGTAGTGGGTGCTGACATAGGTGGGGTTGTCAAAGTGCAGTGGGGTCTCCCAGCCCAGCCGCCGGCTGTGCAGGCTCACATGTGGGTTCACCATCACATTGTTGAGGTACTCACCGGGCCGGAGGGGCCGTACCAGCTCACCTGCACAAGGAGCCAGGTCCCAGCTGTCTCTATCCTGCTGCCCCAGCCCCCAGGCAGGAGAGCCCCACCCTACCCCCCAGCTCACCCTGCCCCACCAGCTCACCCTCCCTTTTGATGAGGAAGAGGGCAAATTCCTGCACTTCCTGGGGCTCTGTGATGCCCATCTGTCTGCACAGCTCCTCCAGCACCTCTGTTGCCACCTGGCCATTTGGACAGGTCTGTGGTGAGAGGGAGGGAAGACCCAGGGCTGAGGCCCATAGTCTCTTCCAGTGTGGCCCCTGTGCTCACCGTGAAAGTCCGGATATTCATCTTGTAATCCGTCCCCCCAGGCAGGTGTATTAGAAGCTCACGGACAGCTTGACCTTTCTGCCAAGGCAGGTTACAAGGTTAGTCCACTAATGGGCAGAAGTCTCAGCCCTACTATAGATACTGCCTCCTGCCCCAGGGAGTCCCACAATGCCCAACTACCAGCCCCAGTACCAAGAAAGCTTGCATTTCCTCCAGTGGGGGCAGCCGTTGGCGGCCCCCATATTTGACTGTGCGCTGCAGGTGTTCCTGGCTGCTCTGGGCCAGCTCTGCAGAGAAGTCAGGTTGGGGTCATAGTGTGCCCTAGCCCCTCTCCAGTCAGCTAAGTTCCTGGTCCTAGAAGCCCCCCTGCCCCAGGCACCTTGGCTGGGGCCAGAATCCTGTAAGAACTTGGTCACATAGGGCATCAACGTGGTTGACGGAGGGAAGAAGCCTGTGAGGAGGCTGAGGAAGCTCCAGCCTCGAGCACAGTGGTCCCTGCAGGGTAGAGAGCCTGGGCTTCAGGCCAATGACCAGACTGCAGCACCCATTCTGCCCCCAGAAGCTGCCCTCCCGGTCTCCACTCACGGCCGGGGGTGTCCTGTGACCTGCTTGATGACCTGGCAGTAAATCTCATCTCTTAAGTTCTCCTCCTGGCACAGCTGTGGGGACAGGAAGGGCAGCAGAGCTGCGGTGCAGGTAGGTATGAAGCCCCGGGGAAATCCTGCTGACACTTATGCGCTGGAACTGAGTCAAGGTAACATCCCAGGGGTCCTCTCCATCTTTGTCTCAGCTTAACAGCATCTGCTAGACTGGTCACTTTCTTTGAGCCACTTTCTCTTCTCTGCTTCTCTGATTAGTCTTAAGTCATCTTTGCTGGTCCCACTCTATCTCCTTGACCTCTAAGCATTGCCATACTCTTGAACCTCTCTCCCTGATGGTCTCAGCTGCTGCCATCTGATGATACCCTTGAACCCCAGAACCCTTCACTCAGAAATCTGAGGTCTCAGATCTCATGTGTTCAACACAGATTCCCCCACCAGCCCAGACCTGCTGTGTGTGGATGACAGTCATTGCCTTGGCCTTTTCACCCCCACATGCAGGTGGTCAGCCAACCCTTTGGCTCGGAATCTTCCTATCTCTCCCCTTCCTGCTATCTCGAGCCCAGACCAGCTCCATCTCACCTGGGACCTTTTCCCCTTAAAACCCACAGAATTTAGAACAACTGCCAAAGTGACCCTGGAAGATGTAAACCAAGTCTCTCCTCAGAATACTCCAGTGGCTTCCCCTCTCTCTCAGATCAAAGGCCCATGACAGCTGCAAGGCCAGCCATGACCTAGACCTTCAACCTTCCCTTCACGCTTGCCCTCATTTGCTTGGCTCCAACCACCCTAGCCTTGCTGGTGCGTGACAGTGCTGGGCTTACCTCCTCATCAGAATTGTCTCTGTCCCCCAGTGCTTGTGACTCCTCCTTCACTCCCACAGTAGCACCCTCCCCCTGCTTTCTTATTCTCATGGCACCTTTCCCTTCAGACATGGTGCACCTTTCCTGGCTATCTTACTGCGAGCTCTGCCTGGCATGGTGGCTCATGGCCTCTGCCCCAGTACACAGCCCGGCTCACCTTCAGCAGCTTATAGAGCAGATCCAGCTCGTTCTTGCCCCAGGGCTTGGATTGGTCACCCATAAATTGCATCAGGGCTGTAGGCAGGATAAAAAGCATGGCAGGCTGGCTAGGGCTAGCCCTGGTTTATGCTATTGCAATACAGGGCCTTCACCTGCCATCTCTGATGCCTCACAAATGCATGGAGTCCAGTGGGGCTGAGGGCCCAGCACAACCCATATGGAAACTAAGGCTTGGAGAGACTCTATGGTTGCCCAAGACCACACATAGTGCATAGAGTTGGCTGGGCTCATTCACTCCACACAACCTTTGGGTGGAAGTAGGGGTGGATGAGGGCCATCGGATGTAGGAACCGCCAGCGAGCTTCCCTGAGTTGGTAGATGGGAGCAGAGTCAGACAGAGCTCAAGCAAGGGGACCAGGTGCCTACGTCTGTGCCACTACAGACATGGGGACCCAGGATGCCAAAGTCACTCACCCTTAAAGCTGGTCACAGCCTGCCTGCTCGTGTCCTCATCACTAAGGCTGATGAGAGATTCCTGGATAGGAACCTATAGCCAGGTGGGCAGCAATGTAGATCTGAGGTCCCTGGAGACTGGGGGGCATGTCCACTGGCCAGATCCCCCCCCCCCACCTCTGCCCTTACCTTGCTGTGCTGCACTAGGCTGGCCACAGCCTTCGCCTCAGCTCCACCTGTCAGGTCCAACCTGTGGGAGCAGAAGGGAGACAGCCCTGCTTGCTTGGTTCCCCACCTTTATCCCAGCTGTTTTGGGAAGGTGGTAGGAACACTGGCCTGGCAGCTCTGAGCAAGGAAGATGAGGACAGGCGGGCATTGGCCCAGGGCACTCACAAGGTTTGAGGCTTTCTGAAGTAGCGCAGGGCAAATTCCTGCATGGTGTAGCTATGGGAGTCAGTGGATAGAGAGGCGTAGGCCATGGACGAAGGCAGGCTGGTGGCCTCTGAGTTATCACTGTGCGCTGGAGCAGGGTGCTAGGAGTATAGGAAACGTGGTGCCACCCAAGTGCCCATAGCCTGTCCCAGGGGCCCTGCCACAACCCCACCCAGCAAGACCCAAGAAGAGCAAAACCAGCACCCAGGAAGGTCAGCTATTGAGTGTCTTGTATGTCATGAACTAAGTGCCACATGGGATGGGAGGGGTACACAGCCCAGACCCTGCCCGCAGAGAGAGCACAGTCTCACTTGGACCATGAGACAAGCAATCCAGAGAGGACAGCAGCAGATACTGCCCCCTAGGCTACTGGAGGCAGGCAGCAGGTGGTCCTGGCTCCCAGCAGCCTCTGGGGCAATCACGCCCTGTCCTTTCTCCACTCCTAGGGAAGTCTCGCCCCTGCCTCTCCCATCATCCTCACCTCCAAGGCCCTGTCCCACTGAGCCAGCCCTGGCTCCCCAAGCTGCAAGTGACTTTTGTGCTGGCTCCTCTGCTCTGATGAGAAGGAGAAGTCAGGAGCAGCAGCCGGCTGCACCATGTCAGTGGGAAAAAGTCCGGAGCGGCCTCCAGCAGAGCCAAACTGCCAACCTAAAGGCATCCCAAGTTTGGTGGCTCACCCACCTGGGCCTCTCGACTGGCTCCACCAATCGGATGCCCACCCTGCCACAGCAACCTTTGCTGACCTGCTGCCATACCTGGTTCCAGCGTGGCCACTGGCAATAGCTTGATGAGGTCACCGCGGTGGAAGCTGAGGAGGCTGCAGTCATCCGTGATGTAGCTACGTAGGGCAATGACATAGCCCGAGTCCTGTGGGTGGGTGGGTGAGTAGCCAGGGAGGATGGAGCCTGCCTGTGCCTCCCTGTCCTGCCCACCCCTCCTGCTCCCACCACTGGCCTTCCCTTCTACCCCTACCCCAGGGAAACCAGACAGGAGATACCCAGCATGGGGGGAGCCACCCGCCTGGCCCCGCCTAGCTCCTGGCAGCCTCCCTTGCCTTCTTGAGCTCATTCAGGAATAGCTCAACCATGGTCTTGATGGCTGTCGCCCTGGCTGAGTGCAATATCAGCTGTTCATTCTTCAGTGACAGCTCCAGGGTGGAGCCACCTGGGCACTTCACCCCCAGCACCTCTGAAAAGCTGTACACAGGTGGGGAATGAGCTGGAGCCAGCTTGCCACTGCCCACCACCCACCCCAGGCTCTAGGTCAGGTCACCTATATGAGCAGAGCGTCTTCAGCTGGTCAGGGTGGAAGCTGGGGCCGTGGGACACCTTGAGCAGTCTCAGGCCCCGGTGGGACACACCTAGCAGCTGCACATCACTGCCGCTCTCACCCTGCCAGGAAGGTGGTGGGTCACAGGAAGGCTCTTGAGGTCTGCTGCTGCCCAAGAAGAGCTGCTCGGGGACAGTGGCTGGGCTTTCTTTTTCCTTTGCCCCCTCCCCATGCTCTCCTCTTGTCTACAGTGGGCCTGAGCCTGCATGCCTTGGGGTCCAGACTGGAGGCTGCCCCACCTATTGCCCCTACCCCCAGCACCACAGACCAAGGCTGGAAAGATGCGGGAGAAGTAATTGGCCCATTTGTCCCGAGCAGCCACCACGATGCGTTTCTTGACATTGTCTTCAGCAGTGGCGAGAGAGTCTAGGCCCACTTCCAAATCTCCTGCAGGCAGGAAAGAGACCCAGGCTGTCCTCAAAAGGAAGGCCCAGAGTTTGTTCCCATGGCTGATCCTTCCCTTAGGACAGGCCTGGCCCCCGCCACTCAGGCTCCTGACTCCAAGGTCCTTGGACCCATACTCAGCAGGTCTTTCATTTTACGCCGTTCATCTTGGGAGATCCGGATGCAGGACTCAGCAAAGGTGTCCCGTAGGATCTGGGGGCAAAGCCAAGTGGTCACCACTAGGACCTGAGGCCAGAGCCCACCCCTAGAGCAGCACCCACAGGGAAGAGCTGGAGAGTCCAACAGAGGTGTTTTGACCCCACAGGGAGCAGCTCCCTGAGGCTTGTCTGTCTTAGCAGAGGGTCTGGGCAGAGCAGGGAGGGAAGGAGGGCTTCTATCTCACTTGTCCCCTGTCCCCTTCACTGCCCAGAGACCCCACCATGACCATATTGGGTCAGTGAGATAAGCTGCCCCAAAGGAACAGGACTGGGTGGGGGTGAGGGTGAGGCACTCCTGGGAACATCCAGAGGGAACAAAGGAACAGCCACTTCTAAGCACCTACTGTGTGCCAGGGCCTGTGCTCTATGCTGTCTCTATTCTGCTTTTAAGCCTCATCTCTAAAACTAGTTTAATAATGATGCCCACATCTCAAGGATGTTATGAAGCTTAAGTGAATGAAGGCAGGGATGGATACACAGGATGTGTCCCCTAAGTGCTGGCTGCCACCGTGCCCTATGCCTAGCCCAGGTGTTAGATGAAAGTGTTAGATGGGAATGCAGCCTGTCTGCAATTGTTGCAGGGAAGAAGGTAGGCCAGGCTCTCACCTGCTCACAGAGGAGCTGGAGGCAGTAGGGGTGGCTGAAGTTCTCCCGTGGATAGAACACCTAGAGCGGGGCATGGAAAAGCCAAGATCAGGGGTCTGGTGCCCCTGCCCACCCTGCCTCCACCCTCTTCAGCCTGGAAAATCAGCCTTGAGCAGGTGGGCTGTGAAAGGATGCTGGAGTCCCAGGCTGGGATGCCCACAACCCACCACTTCCCTACCAGCCCAAAGGGGCCAGGCCAAGGCCCCACCTCCTTGCGTAGGAATAACTTCCAAGGTGCACTGGTGTAGGAGAAGCTCACGCTGGCAGAGGGCACAAGTAGTTGGGTGGAGGTGCTCTGGTCCCCCATAGGCTCCATCAAGCCTGGGAAGGGAAGGAGGCAAAGAGCCTCAGGTGAGTGGCTGGCAGAGCCAGGACAATTAGAGCCCACAGAGGGGAGACCCTCAGCCCTGGAGCCTCTGAGGGTTCCACTTTCCCAACTTCTACCTGGCTCACTTCTGCCTTCACTCCCAGACTTAAATTTTCCCTGAGGCTCATGGCCTCTATGACCACATCAGCCAGGGCCACTAAATTCCCCATAGAGCTGTTAGCCCTACATTGAAGACAACACCCTGTGTGTGACAGTCCTTCGGTGCCAGACCCTGCCCTGGGCAGGACTGTGGAAGCTGGGGCTCCAAAGTCCGGAAGCCTGAGCAGCTGACCTCAGCTATGAAGAAATGGATTCAGCCATGGGTGCCAAGAAGCATGACACACAAGGGGTAAGGGTAAGGGGTTCCTTACCACGAGGCTCAGCTGAAGGGGCCCCTGGGTCCTCAGGCAGAGACAGTGGGGGTGCTGGTGGAGGTTGGGGTGCCCGGGTAGTGGGCATGTTCTTGCCAAACAAGTCCTGAAGGGGCCCCTGCTTTTCCTTGATGGAGCTGGAAGGCCCAGGCTGTGGTAGGGCTTTGGGTCGAGGAGCTACAGTAGGTGGTGGGCTCTTCCCTGGGCTGGGGGACATCGTCTGGTGGGGCACAGAGAAAGCACAGGGACTGAGTCTAGGAGCAAGGCCAAGTTTGCCCCAGAGAGCCTCCAACTGCCCTGGAGGGGACAGGACGGGGAGCTCACCGAAGGGGATGAGTGGGCACCATGGATTCCCAGCTTGGCCAGAGCCTCATCCTTAGGATCATTTTTCTTTGGGAAAGTTTTGAGAGGCCTTGTGGGAGAAAGAAGTGGTAACTAGTTCCATGGGATGATTCCCTGGGGAGTGGAAGAGCCCTAGTCAGCTGCCCCTGGGGGCCACTTCCCCCTGGGGCCACCTCCCTGTGGGCCCACCTGGATGGCTGCACAGGCACAGGCACGGGGCCTGGGCGGCTCTGGTACATGCGGATGATGTTGCGAATTTCCTTGCTGGGTTCAGGCCGCTGGGATGTGTGGACCAAGCTTTGCACCATGAGCGCCCTGCCCTGGGTTCGCTCTTGATCATGGCCAGATCCTGCCTCTCCGGCTGGCTCAGCTTCAGCCTCTTTTGCAGCTTTGGTCTCACCTTGTTTCGAACGCTTCTTCACTGCGGGGGGAGGAGGAGGGGACAGCACTGACAGGGAAGAGGAAAGACATTAAACACTGCAGAGCACAGCAGCCCCAGGCCCCTGCCTACCCCTGCTGCTGCACCTGTTCTTGGCTCCTCTTCTTGCTCCTCCTGTTCCTCCCTCTGGGGGATCTGGACCTTGGCAGGAGGCTTCAATGCCTTCACCTTGATCTGCTGTTGCCCTGTAAGTACCATGCCTTCGTGGTTACTAGTGTTGGCACCAGCCTGCCCATTTGGGATCCTGGATGGGCCACACCCCCTGGCCCAGGTTAGGAGCACTGGCCAAGTTTCTGCATGGGACTCCCCAGCACCCTCACCCATCTTCTGGAAATAGTCCCGTTTCTGCTGGAAGCTTCTGGGGTGCAGGGACCTATCTTCTGCCTCCTCTGAGATCCCCTCCTGACAAGAGGCAGAAGGGAAGAACAGCCATAGCCAGCCACACATGACACCCCACTGGGCCTGAGGGCCTGGGCTCACCTACCCATACCCCTCACCCAACCCTGGCATCCCTGTTTGAGGGTTCAGTTCCTCACCCTTAGGTAGGTGCCCCCCGATTCCAGCTCACGCTCTGGCTCTTCCCGGGGAGCAGGGGGCTTCTTGGGCTTGGGTGTGATAGCTATAGGTGGGGTCTGAGATGCAGCCCTCAAGGCTTCAGCTTGCTGCTGGTGCTGGCGCTGGCGCTGCTGCGTCTGCTGCTCCAGGGACAGGGTCATGGCCTGGGTGGTCATCTGCTGGGCCTGAAGGGGGAAGGGTGATGAGTCAGTATAGACTCCTCTCCCTTAGACCTATCCTCCCCAGCCCTGGGGTGTTGTGCCCTCACCAGGATCAGCGCCTGCTGGTTGATGAAGTTCTGTTGCTGGACTGCCAGCTGCCTCGCATCCAGGCTAGGGAGCAATGGCTGCGGCTGTGGCTGTGGTGGCACCACCATGGCTGCCAGGGTAGCCAGAGTGAATTAGAGCCATAGCCAGGCTCAAGGCCCTCCACCCACTGTGCACTCTGGACTCCTGGGAGGATGCTCCCCATCCAGTCCCAGAAATGACAACTGCTCTCTTGAGAAGGGACACCAGTGCCCCAGCCCAGCCTTACTTGGCATGGCAGGGCCTGCGCCCATGGCTGGCATCATGGGTATGGGTGCAGGCATCATAGCTGGCTGGTATCCAGGCATCTGCATCATTCCTGGGTACACTAGGGGAATGGGGCCCTCCATGTTAGTCCCTACCTGGGCCACATATGGTCTCCTTCCAGCCCAAGCAAAGAGAAGAACCTTGACCCCCAGGTGCTGGCCAGAGCACCAATTACAGCTGCCTGGGGGGTAGGGGGAGCTCGGAGGCCCTGGATGGGACGTGAGCCCCACACTTACCCATGGGGTAGCCCTGCTGCATGGGTCCCATGGCACCACCTCCCTTCATGCGGCCACTTAGATCCCAGCCTTGTTCTAGATCCTGAAGGGACAATGGTCACAGGGTCAGAGCCAGAAGATGGAAAAAGTGCAAGAGGCAGGAGCAGGGGTCTGTAGGGTGTGCAGGAGACTCACCCTGAGGCCTGGTGAGAGGACTGGTTCAAAAAGGTGCTCTAGGAATCCATCCAGGCTCCCGGCCTTGCCTGCAGGGCAGGGAGAGGATTGGTGAAGCCGCCAGGGGTATGGGGCTGCCGATGCTCCACCAACCTCAGGTGCCCACACTGGTCTTACCTGTGTGGCTCCTGCTAGGCAATGTCGGGGCTGGACCTGGGGGAGGTCCTGGGGGCAGCGAGGGGGCCTGGACAGTAGGGGCAGGGGGGATGGCCTCAGCTCTGTAGGAACAGGAGGGCAAGCTGAAGGGGTACCTGGACTCAGGCAAGAGGTGGAAGCTGCTGTGGGGGTTGCCCGGCAGGTGGGAAGGCCGGACTTGCCGCCGTTCCTGTGAGCCCGTGGGTATGACAAGGTAGCCACGGAGGTCACCAGCAGGGGCAGAACAGGCATGAGAGGAAGGCACCTACGAGCCAAGGGGACTGATGGGGTAGCTGCATGGACCAGCTGGGTCCCCCAGGTCTTCCGTCTGGCCAATCAGATCCAGCACAAAGTCGCAGCCAGCCAAGTCCTGCCATGTGTCTCTGGAGTGCAGTGACATGGACCAGCCACGGGGTGGCGCCTCCAGGCCTCTGGGTGGGACAGGGGCATGGAGTGGGGGGTGGTCAGTGAGGCAGGTGGCCATCGTAAAAAGGCAAGGACCAAAGAGTGTGGGGTGGGGAAGGAAGGGCAGCCCTGGGAGTGCCTCTCTCCACAGCAAGGACAGCTCTCCTCCGTCGGCACCACATGCCCTGTGTGTAGACATCAGTGCCAATGCTACAGCTACTTCCCTGTTGGATTAGAGCCCAGGTGCTCGCACACCCCTCACTTGTTCTCCACACCTTGTTTCCCATCTGTGTCTACAATCTGGACCCTGCCCACTGACACTCACACTTGGGGGTACCCCCTTGGGGGCACTTGGGGACAGAGAGCTGGGGGATCAAGGAGGCAGCAGAAGTACAGGACGATGGTCAGCTTTGGCCACACTGGCCCCCTCCCAGACCACATACTTGCTCTGCAGGATCCACCCGGCCAGTTGCTCTCCCGTAGTCCAGGACTCCACCTCAGCCGAGTAGCACTCCTCTGCAGGGTGGGATGGGACAGGATTGAGGGGTGGCAGGGCCACCTGACAAGAAGGGGTTGCTGACCCACAGGGTCCCCAAGCAAGACAGAAGGGAGATCACGGTCACCCAACAGGAGGCAGGAGGAAGGCTAAGGGAGGAGGAGGTTCAGGGTAGAGGAGGGGGCTAGCTGGCCCTACTGTGGGCCTGGGGATGCCTTGGCAGGAGGTGACCATCACCGTTGAAGGTGAAGACGTCCAAAGTCATGCGGCCCCGCCGCCATCCAGCCATCCATTCCAGCTGGGTGGGTGGGTGAGTCCGAGCAGCCCCCAGCGCCAGCTGTGACTGCTCCATGGCCCCCAGCAGCTTGTGCTGGCACAGTGCTGCCATGCCCGTGGGGGCCTGGTCAGACACAAACCTGTAGGGACATCACAAGGCTGCTGTGGAGGTGGGATAGTTTGCTGGCCCCTCCTGCCAGGTCCCTACTCCCCAGAGCCCTTACTTGAGCAGTGGCTTCTGTAGGGCTGCCGTAGGGGGAAAGGCACTTAGCAGGATGGCCATGAGGGCCCAACCACGCTGGCTCTGCTGCTCATCTGGGTTCTGCCAGAGCTGGGCAACGAGCTGGCTGAAGAGCTCATCCCGCAGCCCCATCTGGCGCTGCCCCTGCCGCACCAGGTAAGTGCCCATGATCTGCCTCTGCCAGGACGGCAGGGATCCGTCCCCCAGGAACCGCAGTATCTGCCAACACAGTGTGGCAAGGATGGGACATGCAGGGCTACCATGTGCCCATCCTGTCCCTGCAAGGGGCCACCTTGTCCCCTTCTGATAGGCCACTCACCACCTTGTTGATGTCCAGGGCACGCTGAGGGTTCTCGCCATCCAGCCGCGTCAGAGGCTTGGCCAGTGGCTGCCCTGGGCGGGGCAGGCATGGCTCCTGCAAGGGAAGAAGGTGACACAGTGCCTGAGGAGGGGTCGGCTAGAAGACAGTCCTGAGGGACCCCCACAGGAGACCTGCCCGGGGGCTGGAGAGGGCTGCATGCAAAGGAATTGCAGAAATGCATCAGTTGCAATCAATCATGCATCAGTTGCAATCAATCAATGCAATTTTGACTAGAAAATTGACAGCCATATACACAGAACTCAGAAAACATGGAAAAGGATAAAGAAGAAAGTAGAAATAGTCTTTAATATCTCACTGTCAGAGAAAACCATAATTAACATTTAGCCTCTTTTAAGAGACAGGATCTTGCTCTGATGCCTAGACTGGAATATGGTAGTGCACTCATAGCTCACAGCAGCCTTGAACTCCTCACCTCAAGCAATCCTCCTCCCTCAGCCTCCCAAGTATCTAGAACTGCAGGCCAATGCCACTACACACACCTATTTTTTTTTTTTTTTGGTAGAGACAGAATCTTGCTAATTGCCCTTGGCAGAGTGCCATGGTGTCACACAGCTCACAGCAACCTCCAACTCCTGGGCTTAGGCGATTCTCTTGCCTCAGCCTCCCAAGTAGCTAAAACTACAGGTGTCTGCCACAATGCTCGGCTATTTTTTGTTGCAATTTGGCTGGGGCCATGTATGAACCCGCCACTGTTGGTATATGGGGCCAGTGCCCTACCTCTTTGAGCTACAGGTGCCACCATCAACGCACACCTAATTTTTTTTTTTTTTTTGAGACAGAGCCTCAAGCTGTCCCCCTCGGTAGAGTGCCGTGGCATAGCTCACAGCAACCTCCAACTCTGGGCTCAAGCGAGTCTCCTGCCTCCGCCTCCCAAGTTGCTGGGACCACAGGTGCCCGCCACAGTGCCTGGCTATTTTTTTTGGTTGCAGCCATCATTGTTGTTTGGCAGGCCTGGGCTGGATTCGAACCCGCCACCTTAGGTGTATATGGCTGGCACCTTAGCCACCTGAGCCACAGGCACCAAGCCAACACTTAATTTTTTTAAAGCCTTTTTTTAAGAGGTGAGGTCTTGCCATATTGTCCAAGCTGGTCTCCAAGTCCTGGCTTCAAGTGATCCTCCTGCCTTAGCCTCCCAAGAAGCTGGGGCTACAGGTGTACACAGCTGTGCCCAGCTCTTAGTCTCTTTGTCATTTTACTTTCTATGCCTAGATGTATACACCCTCTTTACTGTTGATTTTAAACAAAATTAGGATCATACTATATGTGCAGGTTTGAATCCTGCCTTTGTATTCAGTGCCATATCCTAGACAGTTTCCCTTGTCAGTAAACATCCTTTAATGGCATGACGTCAGCGGCAGAGAGATACTGCAGGTGTAGGAAGGGTGTGGCAATGCTGAATGTCAACACGGCAAGATACTGTGTTTTGAGTCAACGGATATTTTCAGAGCAAATCATCTGCATCCAAAGCCCCAGTGATTGGAGAAGGAGGAGGAAAAGTGGAGAAGGAGGAAAATGGTACGGCTTCCGCCAACAGGTGCCAATGTAAGGGGATGGCTGGGGCCAGCAGAAGAGCATGGGCAGGGGGTCCACCTGAAAGCCGATGGAGACGAAGCTGGAGAAGGGGAACCGGTCAATGTCTGGTGGGAGCACCAGGCTGGGCCGAGCAGGGACTTCAGGGGGCATAGACTCGGTGATGCTCCCAGTCAGGGCATCCTGGTGGCCTGGGAACAACATTGGGAGACAGCCAGGTGTAGTGTAGGCCCTGACACCCCCCCTATCATCAGACAGGAGCCTAGCAATGAGCTCAGGGGGCCTGGACCATAGGAGACAAACCCACCACAGAGAAAAGGGACCAGGGAAGGGATCCTGGAAAAGCACCAATGAGACTCACCTTCTGCTGTCTTCAGCATGACGGCCAGCTCAGCCGGGATCTCCAAGCTCCCCAGCTCCTGGCGGGGGGGGACCAACTTACCCAGGAACCAAGGGAGGAGGCATGGGGATCTGGGGCAACCCCTCAGCCCCAGGATTATAAACAATCCTCCAAAGGCCAAGCTTTCTGACACTGGACACTCAACTAGAGAGCCCCAAAGACCCTGAGAGGGAAACCAGGAGCCCTGGAGTGCCAAAGGCACCCCAGTTTTCTCTTAGGCGGCATAGTGGATATCCCTGAGGGACAGACCCCACAGTGACACCCTGGAACCCTTCCGCCAAGCCAGGCCACATTCAGCACGTTCATATCCCAGCATAGAACTCCTCCAGCTCCCAGACCACCTACCATGCTTGGCATTTTCCCCGAGACTCTGTCCGAAAGCCAGCCACACCAATGCCCAAGCTGTTGGGGGGGACGCAGGAAGAGCTAATGCCTTGTGTATGGAGTCCTCTAGGGGGTCCTCCCTAGCTCCATAGTTCAGCTGCCCCTGCTGCCCCCAGGAGGCTCTGACATCAGCAAAGGATGAACAGACCCGGCGGGGCCAGCTGCCTGGCAGGGCAATTGGTCCCCACCTGCCCCTCACCCTCCAGACTCCTCGCCAGCCTCAGTACTTTGGGCATCAAGGCCTGTCTGCCAGGGTACTGGGAAGAGGACAGGAAGAAGGGAAGGAATTGTCCCAGGGGACAAAGTCCAGCCAGGGAGGGGCCAGAAAGGGGGTAGCTTGTGGGCACCGACCTTTGAGCTGCTTTATGGCTCTCAGATTGGAGTCATTGGGCAAGAGAAGGGAGCAGAAGGGCCCCAAAGGAGGGTTGGAAAGGATGGGCAGGAACCCCAGGCAGGAAGGGAAGAGCCAGGCTCTGGTGGACCCAGCAGGAATGGAGGAAGACAGAGCCCACTGGGGCTGATCCCAACCACACAGCGAGAAAAGGGAGGAGCCCAGCAAGTGATGGCCCCGAGGCCACAGTCCTTAGGAAGGTGGGCTGAGAGTGTGGTAATACTGAGATGTGGCCAACTTGTCAGCTAAGGCTGCCTGGCCTCTATCCTGAGCTTCCCCAGTCCAGCAGCCCCAACCAAAGCCCACACCTGCTGTTTTTGTCGCCTCCAGAGCAGGGGCCGGGCCACCAGAAGGACGGTGTTCAGCTGTCCCAGAGCTGCTCGCCGCTGGAGGTACCGCTTCCTGGATGCCGTGAGAAGGCAGGAACCAAGAGTCCAAACTTACACCTCCTGCCCGGCACCCAAGTCCCCTAAGCCTAGACATTCACGTAAAAACTGATGCTGGCTCACACCTATAATCCCAGCACTTTGGGAGGCTGAGGCAGAAGAATTGCTGAAGGTCAGAAGTTAGGGACTAGCCCTTACTATGGGCAACATAGTCAGAACTTCCTTCTCTACCAAAAAATAGAAAAATCATCTGGGCATCGTGGGTGTGCCTGTAGTTTCCTCTACTTGGGAGGCTGAGGCAAGGAGGATCTCTTGAGTCCAGAAATTTGAGGTTGCCGTGAGCTAGGCTGACACAACTGCACACTGGCCGAGGCAACAGAGTGAGACTCTGACTCAAAACAAAACAGCAAAAAGACCAACAATTCTGACTCTGGAACAATGAAGTCCCTGGATCCTTAACAGGAAGAGCCAGAAAAGAGCAGGACACTATGAAAGAAGTAAATCAGGCTTGGTGCCCGTAGCAGGCGCCAGCCACATGCACCAAGGGTGGCGGGTTCAAACCCAGTCCTGGCAACAATGACAACTGCAGCAAAAAATAGCTGAGGATTGTGGTGGGCGCCTATAGTCCCAGCTACTCGTGAGGCTGAGGCAAGAGAATCACTTAAGCCTAAGAGTTTGAGGTTGCTGTGAGCTGTGATGCCAAGGGCGACAAAGTGAGACTCTGTCTCAAAAAAAAGAAGAAGTAAATCGGAGGCTGTTTAGCAAGGGGAGCAAGGTCTGACTCTGGAGCCAGACTACCTGGGGTCAAATCATTCCTCTAATACTTTGTTACTGTGATCTTGGATGAGTTACGTTTCCTTTCTGTGCTCTCTATGGTTTATTTTCATTATCTGTAAAATGAGGATTTTTTTTTAATTTTCATTATCATTATCTGTAAAATGAGGATTACTGTATATAATACCTGCCCCAAAATAAGATTAAGGAATTGATAGATGTAAGGATTTAAAACAGAGTCTGTTATGTTACTATTATTTAAGAAGCAGAACTTGGCTCCGTGCCTACAGCACAGTGCTTATTGGGCCAGCCACATACACCACGGGTGGCAGGTCTGAGCCTGGCCTGGGCCAGCTAAATAACAATGACAACTGCAGCAAAAAAATAACCAGGGGTTGTGGTGTGTGCCTGTAGTCCCTCCCAGCTACTTGGGAGGCTGAGGCAAGAGAATCACTTAAGCCCAAGAGTCTGAGGTTGCTGTGAGTTGTGATGCCAGGGCACTCTACCAAGGGCTATATAAGTGAGCCTCTGTCTCAAAACAATAAATAAATAAATAAAATGAGGATTATTGTATGTAATACCTGCCCCCAAAATAAGATTAAGGAACTGATAGATTCAAGGATTTAAAACAAAGTCTGTTATGTTAATGTTATTTAAGAAGCAGAACTTAGGCTCGTCGCCCGTAGCACAGTGGTTACGGCGCCAGCCACATACACTGCCGGTGGCAGGTTTGAACCCGGCCCAGGCCAGCTAAACAACTGCAACAAAAAATAGCTAGTCATTGTGGCGGGCACCTGTAGTCCCAGCTACTCGGGAGGCTAAGGCAAGAGAATTGCTTAAGCTTAAGAGTTTGAGGTTGCTGTGAGTTGTGACACCGGGGCACTCTATCAAGGGCGACATAGTGAGACTCTGTCTCAAAAAAAAGAAGCAGAACTTAAAAATTAGAAAGTAGGCTGGGCATGCTGGGTCATGCCTGTAATCCCAGCACTTTGGGTTTGAGACCAGCCTGAGTCAGAGAGATCTCATCTCTAAAAATAACCAGGCATTGTGGCAGACAACTGTAGTCCCAGCTATTTGGGAGGCTGAAGCAGGAGAATGGTTTAAGCCCAAATGTTTGAGGTTGCTATGAGCTATGATGCCATAGCACTCTACTGAAGGTGACAAAGTGAGACTCTGTCTTAAAAATATATATACACCAGAAAGTAACATCATTGAAAATCTAATAGGAGATCCTAGAAGATGGGATGGGCAAATGGGATGGGCAAACAGAATGTCTTTGAGAAATTTCCAGATGTAAGAAGACCAGACTCCTCAAAGAAGTCATGAGCAGGACAAACATTTAAAAATAAATCTAAACTTTTGTGTATCAAAGAACACACATGAAGAGTGAAAAGACAACTCACAGAGACTATTTGTAGATTCCATAGTATTTGATAAGAGCTTTTTTTTTTTTTTTGAATCAGAGTCTCACTATGTCACCCTTGTGGCATCGCAGCTCACAGCAACTCTTGGGCTTAAGCTATTCTCTTGCCTCAGCCTCCTGAGTAGCTGGGACTACAGGTGCCTGCCACACACCCAGCTATTTTTGGTTGCAGTTGTCATTGCTGTTTTAGCAGGCCCCAGCCAGCCTTTAAATCTCCAGCCTCAGTGTATGTGGCCAGTGGCCCTACTCACTGAGCCATGGGCGCTGAGCCAGTAAGAGCTTAATGTCCAGAATATATAAAGAATTTCTACATAAAGAACTCAGCCACAAAAGACAACCTAATTAAAAACCAGGCAGAGGACTTGAATAGACATTTCTCCCAAGAAGATACACCCATGGCCAAGAACCACATGAGGCTCAGCACCTGCACCTGTAGCTCAGCAGCTAGGGCACCGGCCACATACACTGGGGCTGGCAGTTCGAACCCAGACTGCCAAACAACAGTGACAATTACAACAGAGGAAATAGCCAGGCATTGTAGCAGGCACCTGTAATCCCAGGAACGTGGGAGGCTGAGGCAAGAGAATCACTTGAGCCCAAGATTTTGAGGTTGCTGTGAGCTGTGATGCCACAGCACTCTACCGAGGGTGACATAATAAGACTCTGTCTCAAAAAAAGAAAAAAGAAGAAGCATGTGAAAAGATGCTCAACACCACCAGTCACGACAGAACGCAAATCAAAAGCCTCATGAGATCACCCATCACATCCACTAGCAAGGCTATAATTTAAAAAATGGAAAATGGCAAGTATTGGCAAGGATGAAGAGAAATTGGAACTCTTGTACATTTTTTATAGAAATATAAAGTGGAAAACAGTTTGGCAGCTCCTGAAAATGTTAAAGAGAGACAGGGCACGATGGCTCATGCTGGTAATCCTAGTGCTCTGGGAAGCCGAGGTGGGTGGATTGCTTGAGCTCAGGAGTTTGAGACCAGCCTGAGCAAGAGCAAGACTCTGTCTCTACTAAAAATAGAAAAACTAGTTGGTGTAGTAGTGAATGTCAGTCATCTCAGTTACTTAGGAGGCTGAGGTAAGAGGATCACTTGAGCCCAGGAGTTTGAGGTGGCTGTGAGCTAGGCTGATACCACAGCACTCTAGCCTGAGCTATAGAGTGAGACTCTGTCTCAAGAAAAAAAAGTTAGACATAGAATTACAGTATGATCCAGCAATTCTACTTGTAGTATAAACCCCAACTATTTGAAAACAGAGACTAGATACTTGTATACCAATATTCATAGTGGCAACAACCCAAATGTCTATGTATAGATGAATGGATAAATCAAATGTGGCATGTCCATACAATGGAACACTATTCAGCCATGAAAAAGACCAAAGTTCTGGGGCAGCACCTATGGCTCAGTGAGTAGGGTGCTGGTCCCATATATCAAAGGTGGCAGGTTCAAACCCAGCCCTGGCCAAACTGCAACAAAAAATATCCAGGTGTTGTGGCAGGTGCCTGTAGTCCCAGTTACTCAGGAGGCTGAGGCAAGAGAATTGCCTAAGCCCAAGAGCTGGAGGTT